TATATATATATATATATATATGTGGTGTGTGTGATCATAACAAGATTAATTATCTAAAAATAAAACCTAAACAAGAGTCCTTACTTTAATCATCTGCACTTCAATATATGTGATCTTATGATGTTTCTGATCCTTAGTCAAACAAATTTCACTTGATCCTTCCACTATAGAAGGAAGTTATACTAGACTTTAATATATATATATTTTTTTATAATCTTTTAAAAGATTTCACACTTATTTATAAACTCATTTTTTTCTTTTTTTTAACTATGTGAAATTTTAATTATATCTAACAACAAACAATTTAAATTTTAATTGAAAAGTATAAGACCATAAATTACACAATAAAAATAAACGTACATTTAAGCAAACACATACATAAAAAAAAAATATATATATATATATAGAGAGAGAATAGCAGATATAAAAGAAATCCACCACTAAGTTGTTGTTGGGGAATGGAGCAAGCATGGGTAAATAAACTTCTGGCAGAGGAAATTTCCTTGTTCTGTCAGTTGGTACTTGGCAGATGCCAGATATGGTCCCATTCAATTCCAAATCTTCACATTGCACCATGTGAATTAAACACTCACACTCACTCACCAACTTTTTATATTTATTTTGACATCTACCTATTCTTGTGTTTAGGTCATTTTAGTTGCCACTTTCTAGTTAAAAAATTAATGCAGGTTAAGAATAATTTATTTACATATTACTCAGATATAAAGAATTTATGAAAATAAGTTATGATAAGTAAGTTATTTTTTTATTTATTTTAACAAACAAATTATCTTGATATTTTCAATTGTGAATTGAATTAACTTGTTGCGAAGCTGGACCCGAGAAAGCAATGAAATTTATGGAACTGTCCGTCTCTCGTGGGGCACGTGAAAAGGTCAGAAACCTTTCTTCCTTAAGGAGTATCGCAGACCGTCTATGTTCTTGCAAACATCCCACCGTCCATGTGTCACATTTTCTTACTATTTTTTCTCAGTCTAATCTAATAGCCGTTAAAAGGACAGCCAAAGTTTTTAACCAGCTTTCTCTTGGGAACTCCACTATATTATTTTCCTACCTAGTGCTCGTGTCATTCCACTTAAATCCAAAACAATAGTGTTAATTCACCTTTTATTTAACATAAAGTATGCTTATAAAATAAAATATTGTAATTTTAATGAAAAAATCATTTTTAATTTTAACATTAATATGATAGTTAGAAAAATTCGATAATGGTATATTGCTTAGTCATTCTAAGCCAAAATACTACTTCCATGATTCCTCTGCCACCTTACATTGAAGATGAAATGTGGATTCCACCCCACATGGCACCTGCGTTGTTCAGTAATAAAAGTCCACCAATTCCCAAGAAAAATGGCTATTCTATGCATCAATGTTTCTTCCCTCTAACCTTTTTTATTAATTGTTGCCGTAACGATACCCCTTTTCTGAACCATGCATAGTATTTTGGTAGTATTATAATGTTCAATGGATCTGAAATTCATCTCTGCCTCTGCAACTCTCAGAATTTCATGATCTGAAATGAGGTATTGCTCTCTTAAATACTAAGCTTTACTCTGTGAATTCCATTTTGAGCTTCCTTTACTCTGTTTTAATAGTTCTTACTACTTCTCCAAACACTTTAACAATCTTATATTCAAAGGTTAATGAATGAGTTTGTTTTGCTTCCAGACATTGTACATTAAGCTTTGTTTAGTTCTTTGTTCAGCTTAGTTAAAAGTATATATTTGTGCGAGTTCAACGGGATCTCCTTGTTGAAGCAACAAGAGTTACATAGCTATTTTGGCAGTTCTGTGTTTCATGTTTGTAAAGACAAACTAAATGTACATGCAAGGCTCTAGATTAAGCCAGCATAGTATAATTTTTGTGTCAGATATATGAAACGGTATTAACAAGGATTTCAAGACAAAACATAGATCATACTGATTTTCTATGTAAAGGATCTGGAGCGAAAATTATAGATCCTGATTCATGAAATTTTCACTTTGTAGAGTTTGGACAGGTTTCAGGACACATTCATAATCCAATTCATCATTGTTCTTTCTCTCCTCCCAAAGTTTGAGCTAGTGAGAGACATCTTTGAGAATGAGATACGTGGAGGATAAAGGATGCTATAACAACCATGTAGCAACAACACAAGACACTCCAAATAGCAGTGCCGTGTACTCAGAGTTTCACAAAGGAAAGGATGCTACTCGTGTCTCTCACCACCACAGAACAACCATGGGGAAACCAACCCCTTCTAAGTGGGACGATGCACAAAAGTGGCTTGTGGGGTTGTCAAAAGGTGGAGAGAAAAGCCACTCCAAAAGCAAGCCAAGAAACTCAAATGCAGATGATTTGAGACTCATAGCTCCTGTGCCACAGAAGGAGAATGATTACTCAAGTAGCGAGAAGGAAGAGGAAGAAATTGATGCTTGCCATGATTTCATGACTAGTACTACTAGTGCTAATGTTAGTGCCATTGCTGCTCAATATGAAGCTGAAACCAAAAGGGTAGAATGTGATGAGTCAATTTGGAGAACTAACAATAAGGCTTCAGAGAACACTATCCAAGTCCAACCAATATGTTTTAGAGACATGGGGACTGAGATGACACCAATTGCTAGCCAAGAACCTTCAAGAACTGGTACCCCAATTAGAGCCACAACTCCTGCTACCAGAAGCCCCATTCATTCTGGGACATCAACTCCAATGAGGGGTCAAAATGGGTTGCAAGTTGTTGAGAGTGGCCATGGCTCTACTAGGCAGTGTGGAGAAGGATCAACAAGCCCTTGCAAGGGGGTTGAAGATCAAGCTACAAAGTTGAGTCCTCTAGAAAGCAGAGCAATGGCTTGGGATGAGGCAGAACGTGCCAAATATATGGCCAGGTACCTTAATTAGTGACCAAATTTAGTAATAGAAAAGTGTTTTTCCTTCACTAATCATGGGGTGTTAAATTTTGGTGACATGATTTTTAAAAGTTACAAATAGATTGTTTTGTCAGAATCGTAATTTTTCTAGTAATACTATATAGTATATTATTATTATTAAACACTTGGCGTAAATTGTACTCATGTTTACAAAAGTGTTCCTGGACAGGTGATTTTTAATTATTGGATGGTTCATGGACCTAAGGAGTCAATGTGAATTGTTGAGTGTTAACAAAGTTTGCTTCTTTTAAAACTTTATTTAGGTTCAAGCGTGAAGAGGTGAAGATTCAAGCCTGGGAGAATCATCAGATAAGAAAAGCTGAAATGGAAATGAAGAAAATGGAGGTATCATCGTCTTTACAGGGTTGTTCAGTGTTGTTCTTAATTACAATGTAGCATGTTATTATTATTAAGATATTCCGAAATTGACACTCCCAAAAGTAGATCTTCCCACAGCTAGTAAATGGTGTTTGTTGTAGCTTGCCATTGTAAGTACAATCGTATTCCCTCGATTGGCTGTCAATGATTTTAACCTTTCCAGTTTCCAAGGCTTAAGATGATGGCTCATCTTTTCTTGTCCTGTTAGCAAGGAGAAAGCTCATCTCATGTAGAGTTGAAAGGCCTGTGAAAATAGACTGACAAAGAGAATTATTCCTGAAAAGAAACATGGCATGGCAGAGAGGGATCTATGATCTTTCTTTTATATTTTCTTTGTGGATTCTTTCCCAATGCAGGGAATAGAAAAAAAAATTATTTATATTGAGATGTCATTAATCCAATGAAATAGCACAAGGGTTAAGTACCCTCTGTAATTGGTAAGTTCAAAAACAGTACACCACTGATGCGTAGTGTGATATATCATGTGATTGAACCTACTCTAGGTAGCAGCATTGCTTTCACTAGTGGGCTCAAGTTTTTGAGTAAAGTTGCTTTTCACTGTGTACAATCGTACAATTTACATTTGTACAGCTGCAGATTTTGTTGTGTGTGGGAATATCATTATCATGATCATCTGACAGAAAATTAATATTGGTATCATGTTTGGCCAAAACAAAATTATTAAACGTGTTATAATTAATAGATATTTGATGTCCCCACGTGATTAGAGATTTCAGTTTAGTTTTGTTCTACAAAATCAATCATTTACTATATTTTTTTTTATGAACAAGGTAATATTCCAAATTATATGATTAAAGAAGGTAACTTTTATGGATTAAATATTATTTTAATACGGACCAAAATTAATTCCTTATCTAGTTAAATTAGTTTTGACCCTGTATTTAACATATTGATGATATTGATTAGGGCTTCTAAGTGATGGGTTTACTTGAATTGCTAGGTGAAAGCTGAAAGAATGAAAGCATTGGCACAAGAAAGGTTTACAAATAAACTGGCTGCGACTAAGAGGATAGCTGAAGAGAAAAGGGCTAATGCACAAATCAAGCTGAATGACAAGGCTTTAAGGACTACCGAAAGGGTAGAGTACATAAGAAGGACAGGGCATGTGCCCTCTTCTTTCTCTTTCAACTTTAAGTTGCCCTCCATTTGCTGGTAGCAGTTTTGCAAAGTATGTGTAATACCTTGTGTGAAATGTAAAACCTTTTCGGTCTAGCCCAACATAGTTGTGCCAGCTACTTCTAAAATAATATTCATTGCAAGTTACATGATGCTTTTCTTGATCTTTTGGTGTGTGCCGTAAGAAAATCTTTAGTGGTTTTCATAGAAATCTAGCTGGGAAATTAAATGTGCGTTTTGTTTTTGGCCTTCAAATTTCTTTTGAAATATCGCTCACTGGTTTTATGCTAAGAGAGCCCATCACTGCAAAATGATGAAAGAATGAAATAACTAGTGCAATTGTTTAAATACCCATTGCTCTAAGCTTAGTATTAGGTAAAAATTAAAATCCCTACATGTAAAATTACAAGTGCATTTTTTTATCAGTAACTACAAGCGCATGATGATAAGGCGCCGAACTATTAAATAGTTTGGATATTGTAAAAATTATATTATTTTTGTTAAATAATTGAACTGAATTATATATATATAAAAAATAACTAAACTAGAATAAAAAAGTAAAAATTTCCGTCTTTAACTTTTCTGATATTCATTATTAAAGAAATAGTTTGGTTTAATTTAAAATTTGGTTCAAATTTGATGAAAATTTTCGTCGAATTAATAAAAGTTTAGTTTGCCTCAATTGTTTTTCACAATTCGGATAAACTATTAGTTCAGTTATGTAAAGTCCTATTTTCATTAATTTAAAATAATATAATTATAATGTATAGTTTATTTTATTGGATTAAATTAATTTAAATAACTGGACTTTTAAAATAAATTAAGGTTGATTTTAGAATAATAAAATAAAAGTGGACTAAGTGTGTATATGGTCTCGAATTAAGTGAAAACGTGTGTTTTTGCACTTCACAAGTCCAATCCATACATTTATCCTATCAAAGCTTAGAGTGAGGGTCAGAAGTTAGTATGTGAGTTTGGCTTGTTTTTTGACTTGTGAGAAACGCATGGAGGAAACAGAGTATGAGAATCAGGGAGTGGAGTGCGAATCATTGAGTAACATCCCTAGCTAAGGAGTTTGCATCACCAAGGTAAAAAAGGTGAGAATTATCTGTATGGGTACATATAGGAATTGTAGAATTGTAGGTAGTGAGTTGTCCATAAATTCGTTAGAGTATTGTTGTATGTGATTACAGGGTTATAAACACTCCGCAAGAGCGTTGATAACATGTTTTTGTTTGTGATATTTATGCATATTGATTTGATTAATTTGATAAATTGATGAATTTGTATTTATGCTCATTTTGGTGTTTTAGGATTTTTGTGTGTTGAATGAGTACTCATATCTAATTGAAATTACGTGAATGAGTTTGGATTATATAATGTTTTAGTAATGAATTTGAATGTGTTAAGTGATAAATCATAGTGTATTTCGTAGAGAATAAGGAGAATGAACTTCCTTGACAAAATATGTGTTTGCACATTTGAAATTATGTTTTTAATAACATTGACATGTTTTGAGAAAACACGTTTGTACTGGGAGTGAACACAACCATCCTTAATTAAGCATGATCGTGTTGTGCAAACATAGTCATGCTTAATTGTGTTGGGTGATGAAGTTGTGAAACTCTAATGAAGCATAGTTGTGTTGAGAGTTAATATGGTCGTATTATGACTGTGTTAAGTGTGCATGACCATGTTGAGCTCATGCTAAGATAGAGCACAATGGTGCTTATAACTAGCATGTTGTAATTATGTGAGTAATGTATTATTTTCCTTACACCGGTAATCTTACCTTGGGAATCGGAAGTATACCATGTCAAACTATAAATGAAAAAAAAAGATAGTTTAGAATGGACTAAAGAGAAAAATCAAGAGTAATAGTTTGAGAACAAAAGCTATGTGAAAAGATATTTATGATGTTAGCGATATGTGTATATGAGCAATATATGTGTTAAGTTTAAGCTCTTCTTAATCATCTTTTAAGTTTAGGCATTGCTTAGCCATGTGTTAAGTTTAAGCTATGTTTAGCCATTCATTAAGTCTAGATGTTGCCTAACTATTTGTTAAGTTTAAGCCTTAAGCTTAGCCATGTGCCATGTGTGTGTTATAAGTTTTGAGTTTGTATGAATCCCTGCATGACATGGATGTTTCATTTGGAGGTATTGATTTGTGAATTTAGTTAGGAGAGTCTTCATGATCTTCTATCTCGACCTTTGGGATTTTCATAGTTAGGATCTACTTGTTAGCATGTTGATAAAGGAGTGTTATGCTCAACTAGAAAATCTCAACTGGCCCTTGATGAATATTCTTGTTAGTGAGAATGGATTTACTAGTTATCCATTGTGTGGTAATCTTTAACTACCATGTACTCATAGGTTGCCTTAAATAAAATCATTTTGTACATTGATTCGAATTAATGAAACGAAGTATCAAATGATTTTTAAATTTTCTAAAAATTTGCATATTTGATCTATGCATCAAGAACTTTAAATTGAACGGTTAGATCATTGAAATTTGATGTTGAACATGAATTATTGAACAGAGTAAGTCTAGGTAGACTTACTCCTAGAATAAAAGAATCTCTCCTCATATATACATATATATATATATATATATATATATATATGTTTTGAACTATGAGTTATTGGTACTACATGAATATCAAATTAGGAGCATAAGGGTCCTCATGTCAAGTATCTTTGAGTTTGTGCATGTATATTGTTATGAAGTGTTTTAGTTGTACTACATGGCCTTTGTATATGTGATATTAACACGTGCAAGACATATTGTCAATCCTTTGCTATTTTTGTTGTTTGGACTACAAATTAAGTTAATATTGTTGAGCATGTGACAAATGATGTCTAGGCTTTATTGTTTAGTTTATTTAAGGGTTTTCTATAAAACTAGTACTAAGATTATAACTTGTGTTTATTTATGTTAGATATCTAATTTGGACTTCATCATTCTTTGAAGAGTTGTTCATTTTTTTATATGTAACTTTTTTGTAAATATTGTTTACAGTGCCTAATATACTTCATTTATATTTTTTATGATAAAAGCTTTTATTTAGTAAAGTTTAAAATTGTGAACCTTTTATCCTTTTTGAAAAAAAAAATATATATATTTACGAATCAATGTCAATATTTTAGTTAAATAATAAAAAAATTATTTTAGGATAAAAGAGTGTCTTATATAGTTCAATTTAGTTTACCATTTTTAACACTTTTAATCCCCATCAATATTTAGATTACATGTATTTTTAGTTTTTAAATTTATGAAAAAAATTTAACAATATTTAATTATGTGTCAAATATAAACTATTTTTTTTACAACTCATATAGCAACTAGTTAAGATTGTGTGGTTTAGAACCACCTAATAATCTATGATGTTTAGGATGATTAAATAGATTAGAACAAACTATTAAATAATTTGTGGTATCTAGAAATACTATTAATTATAGTACAAGTAGCCTCAAAAGAAACTTTGAGGAAAATTATTCATTAATGTTTTGTTTAAGTAATGAAAAATTTTGAGAGAAAAAAGTATAATAGAAAGAAGTAGAAGAGAAAAAGGAGGAAAAGAGTTGATTTTTAAGTTGCTTGAATTGAAGGAGATAAAAAAAAAGTAAGAGAGAAAGAAAAATGTATATATGTTCAAAAGACATATTTTTAATTTTGACTATTTTAAAACTTGAAATTTGTCTCATAAGATTTACTTATATGGAAATTATAAATATGATTAAAAAAAATCTAATTTCATATTATTTACTATTTGTTCAAGAGATATATTTTTTTACACGATTTTTATTTTGTTTATAATTTTTTTAGATTCAAATGTCAATCTTATTTTATAATTTTTATACGGGTGAATCTAATATTAGAAGTTTTGCATTTTGAATCATTCAAAAATTATTCAAAATTATGTCATAAAATTGGAAATAATCATTGTTTAAAATGACTAAATTAATTCAAATATTAAAGATAAATGATCATAATGAACATTTTAATAGATAAAGGATCAAAATAAATTTTAAAAATAAAATAAAAGACCAAAAGTATAATTAAGTTTATAAATGATTTATTTGTGATTTTTATCCTCAGTTATTAATTAAAATTAAATATCATGAATTATTTGTAAAGTATATTTTAAAGTAATTGTTTTTAATAAATTGTACATAAGAAATAATATTTAATTATAACAAAATTATATAATAAAAAAACGTTAATGTTCGCAATTAATTCATTATTAATTTCTGATAATAAAAAATTCATTATTAAATGTAATTTGGTTAGTTAATTTTTTTTTTTGACAGGATAGTCACGGTAAAATTCAAGTTTTGATCAACGCTTTTTTTCTTTATTCTTCTTTAGTCACTGCTATCGGCGGTGGATACTCAAGGCACGAAGAAAAAAGTTTATTTACGTTAATTTTATTTATGATGTAAATTTAATAAATTTAGGTCAAGAATAATAATATTATTTCAAAACTAAAAAAATGATTAAAAAATATAATTATATTTTATTTATAATCGTAGAGCATATATACTAGCATGAAAGCTTAACATTTTTTTATTAATAAAAAAAGTTTAAATGCTAGCATATAATGATCAGTAAATGAATAATAATAATGATAAATGATAACGTATTCTATATTCATAACAGCCGACTAAACTTTGTCCTAAAATGAAATCCGAGTAAATTATAGTTATTATTACTATTAAATTATTATTTAATGTATTAAAACATGGATGTAATTAAAAGAATAGTTTTTTTTTATAAGCAACATGTATTTTTGTAAAATAAATTTTGGAGGACTCTTCCATTAACTAAGAGTCTAACACCAAACTAAATTTGACTTCACGTTCGACTAATTCGTGAGCAATAACATTGCTTTCTCTAAAAATAATTTTATAATACACTTGTCAATCATGAGCAAGGAATTCTCTAATATTGACAATAATATTTGCATGTTTATGTTGTGATATTGTGGGTACTCATAGATGGTAGAAATAACAATTACACAATCTAACTTAAAAAAGAAATTTAAACTCCTTTTCTCAACATAAATGCAACTCCACTTCCAAAGCAAGAAGTTCTACACGTGAAGGGTCCCTTCCTTCGAATGAGTTCACAAGCCCCCCTTTCCATCTACTAATAATATCCCTC